TTAAAAGCAAGACTCTTCTTGCGTTTTTCATCCTCTCTTCCTACCTGTCTAATCACATGTTCGTGACTAAGGAGAGAGCCTACAAGCTCATCCACAGACAAAGTATTAAGATTTCTAGCTTCTTATATGGCTGTACGTTTAGGTAGCCACTCCTTAGGTAAGGAACGAAGAATTTTCCTGACCATATCTTTTGTGGGAATAATTCAACCGAGACCTTTCAGTTTATTGATTAGTCCTGTAAACCTAGAGTACATTTCATGAATCCCTTCGTTTGCCAACATATCAAAAGTCTCGTATTCATGCATGAGTAAATCAATACGAGTTTCTTTGATATTGGACGTACCTTCATAGGTTGCTTCGAGAATCGACCAGATTTCTTGAGCGGTTTCGCACTGCTCGACTTTGTCGATCTCATCTGGTGAGATGGCGGTCTGCAAAATGTGCATTGCACGACAGTTGAGTTGCGCACTACGCTTTTGCTCGTCCGTCCATTCACCTTGAAGCTCTGGATCCATCTCAATCGGTCCATCCCGAACAACTACCCAGAGATCAGCATCGATTCCCCACATGAAAGTTTTCATGCGCTTTTTCCAGGCATTATAATTGGAGCCTGTGAACCAAGGCGGATTATGATGGGACGATGGACCAAAAGCGGACTGAGAATTTGATCCCATGGATCGTTACCCTTTGGCAGTAGCTAGCTCTTCAAAGGAAGGCTCTGATACCACTTGAGAGTCGATCTCAGATTAGGGATTTCAGATCGAAAAGGTAAAGTTGAAGTGCACAGTGAAAAACGAAAAGGAAGATGGATGCGAAGAGATCAAACTCTGCGTATTGACGATATGGGCCTGAGATGCTTAAAGCCCAATCGATAAAATAGAAAAGCAAAACAGAAGGGTGGGCCGAGGTGAAAACAGAGTCCAGAAGAAGACTACAGCAGAGAACAAGTTCTCTGCTTGAGCTCTGCACACCCAGAAACAGAGGGGATCGAGGACAGGGAAGAAGAATGAAGAAAAGCAGTAAAGTAAAGAACACCAAGGCACTTTTTAACGAGGTTCACCCAATAATGGCTACTTCCTCGTCCCGGCAACGGTCAACACCACTGCCGAGAGACACTTAGAATTTTTCTTCTTTTACAAGACTCAAACACAGAATGAATTGATCAGCCAGCCAGAGTTTCCAATCCAAAACTCTGTACCTATCTGCCTCTCTCTCAGATCCTATACCTCTGGAGAAGAAACTCTCTTTTGCCTTAAACAACACAGCCCTCTACCGCTCAATGTTTCTAAGATCAAAAGCTACAGAGACTAAGATCAGGGAAAGCAATTATATAGCCGCAAGACTGTAGCCGTTGGAGAGGAAAGGACCGTTGCCAAGATTCCCAGAATTTGAAGAAGTTTCCCTGAATAGATGTCTTTCCATTTCTGAAACTTGCCGGGTTGAAGCTCTGATGAATCAGCCTTTTCAAATTGAGATTGCAACTCTGATCTCGCCCAACAAATTGTAGTTAAATTATTGTAGAAATTGAGGTTTTTACTAATTTACAACTTTATTATAGCTAAAATATGATGCAATAAAAGGAAAATTCTAAGTAATTTGACTAAGATTACATTTAATTTAGACAAGAACGGGTCGAGAATGGGGCGGGTTAGGGCAGGTCGGATCGATGAGACTACCCATACCCGCCCCGCCAATGGGGCGGATCCGACCCGCCCCAAAACAGGTCAAACAAGTCAAGTAAAACGGGTCATGTCGAAATTGTCATCCCTAATTAGATATGGTGAGAATCCCGGCATGATAACTCAACAATTACTTCAAGACCTTTTTCTTGTCAAACATTCAAACATAGATGAAACTGAATCCTGCTTTTATAAAAACCAGTTTCCAGTATGAAAAGAGAAGCTAAGAGAGTAAAAGAGGATTATGATTTGAATTCGCTAGAGCTTTGAATCGAGGCAATCAATAAGAGATTCATCATAAAGCTGCTAGCAGGTCCTAAGATTATCATCAACTGGTATATCAGACGTCATCTGATACACTTAATACACTATGGAAAGGCATCATCTTGTATATATATATGCTTTGAAATGGATAGGCTACCAAGGAATACATTAAACCACAATCAAGTAAAACTTTGATGAAATACTTAAAAGCACATAAACAACAATTAACTGCTAAAATAAGTAATGGTAGCATTTTATTGGAAATTCCTACAATACATTGAAGTTATGGTAACTTGATGTTTTTACCTGCTATAACAGGTTTCACAAGTCGCATTACGTAAAATACAATAGGCATTACGTAATGGTTACGTAATGTGTGTTTATCTTACTTAATAGTTGAAAAATGTCATTACGGAAACCTTACGTAATAGAGACTCATTTTATGTAATGAATATTAACCTTTCGTTACGCAATCTGTTGAATCATTACGGAAGGCTTATGTAACACTTCTAATTTAACTGTTACGTAAGAAATAACTATCGTTACGTAACCTTTACGTAATAGATGCATACTTTACATAACAGTTGTAAAGTGGCATTACGGAAGCCTTACGTAATGGATGGTCATTTTACGTAATGATATTAATCAAGTTACGTAATGTGGTAAGTCATTACGGAAGTCTTACATAACACTTCTAATTTAACTGTTACGTAAGAAATAACCTTCGTTACGTAACCTTTACGTAATGAGCGTGTATTTATGTAACAGTTGTAAAATTTCATTACGGAAGCCTTATGTAATAGACGATGCTTTTACGTAATGAATATTAACCTAGCGTTACGTAAAATGATAAGTCGTTACGGAAACCTTTCGTAACGCTTCTAGTTTAACTGTTACGTAAGACTAACAAGCATTACGTAATTGTTACGTAATAAACATTAGTTTTACGTAACGCGACCTATAAAACCTGCTATAGCAGGTAAAAAACGTAAAGTTATAATAACTTCAAAACATGGTAGGAGGTCGCCATTTTATTTGGTCTTTACTTGATAGTATCAGAACCAATAGTACTTTCAGGCTTTCAGCAACTTGATCAAGGTACTCTATTCATTATGGTAACATCGCAACTGACTACTTCGGCAGTTTGATCAAGTCATTCTTAATCCATTCAACCTTTTTCTGCTCAAACCACATGCTATGGAATGACATATTTATATATGCAAAAATGGATACACGTGTATTGGGGGAAAAAAACACAAAGTTGGTATTAAAATCATCTTATAGCTAAAAGACCAACCAAAGCATGACCACAATCAAACCACTTTGAAATCATCAAACCACTTGCGATTTAAGTAAACACAGAAGATATATAATAGCATTATGGCAACACTGCCTATAGTAATGGAAGCATCAAGATTGACCATGTTGGGAAATCAACACTAATAAACCAAGTTAATTATAAAGAAGATGCAAACAACCCTGGATTCGAAATCAAAGAAGTTTTCATCTTTAAAATCGGGTTGTACAGAGAGTTTAGATTCAAATTCATGAGCGCAATCAAACTATCGGATGCATGAAACCTTAAACCTTTGTTCGCCTACTAAAATGGAGTTAGAAATTACCAGGAAGGGGCTCAAAGGAACTATGCCATGGCTTCCCTTTCGCCATGGAGGGTTCCTTACCCATTTTCCCTTGTCGATTTGCCTTTTTCTTCCAATGTCCTTCCCTTCTGCCCTCTTTCTCGAAACATCTGTATAAGCTCCCTTGCGAACCTTCTCTTGTTGAAACGGAGGAGAGAAGAAGGGTCGGATGGAAAGAGGAGAGGGCACGCATGCGAGCGATTGTATGTGAACTCAGGCTGGCAAGAAATTTAATTATTGATCAAATGGTTATGGTTGGTCAGCCAAAGAGTTAAACTCGGGCTTACCTAGATCCGCCTACAGCAAAAACTCCAAAACTCCACGGTGAACAGTACCTTCGATTTTTTTGATACTTGCGACATAATAATTCTAATTTTTTTTATTTTTCTTCCATAAAAAAAACAAAGCGCTTGGTTGGTAGAAGGTTTACACTTGCTGTTTTTTTTTCCTTTTCTTCCATTAAAAAACACAACACTTGGTTGGTAGAAGATGGTTCACATTTGCCTCGTTCAATTCTTTTTTGGTAAAATATAGTTAACGATTTCACACCATTAAAATACAAAAATAACTTATAAATTATATATAAAGGTAAATATCAGATAAAGACGCCCAAAAACAATGACAAAAGAAAAAACAAACTAATGCCCACAAAACCAAAGATCACATCATCGCCCAGCATGGACTAAATTGGTTGTCCGTTAATTCCATTATCAAGAAGTGTATCTACTAAAGTATAATTTTGAGCACAACAACGTACTATATCGACATGTGGCTTTGGAAACCGGCCCACAATGGGTGTGTGGATGGTAGAGAAGTTCATCTTATCTTTTATGTCAACGTGTCAATCTCATAGTGTTGGATTTCCTTGATCCTAGTTTTGGCTTTGGCAAAACTACAAACTAATTTTGTAATTGGAAGGGAATATTTGATCTTAGGGGGCTCACAATAACTTAACGAGTTGTTTGGAGGTTGAGATTTTCTAAATTAAAGTATTTAATCATTTTATGTATTGTAATTTGATGTATTGATGAAATGTATGAATTTGAAAATACCTTGTTTGGAGGTTTACATTATATTGTGTTTTTTTATAAATGAAAAAATAGAGAGAAAACAGTTTCTTGGTCACAATCTCACCTTTTGATAGAGATTGATAATCAATTACTTTTTGAGTGATTGCTGGTGAGCCCAGAAAAAAATAATACATATATTCTGTCACAAATTTAAGAAGAAAAAAAAACTACTTAATCTTGACGTTATATACATTGGTAAAATACAGCTCTTGAAATCCCAACAGCCAAACAACCTACGGACTGGGATTTTTTTCCATTGTATATATATATATATAGTTGGCAAGGTGAGGTTGCCCAACACAAATCCTTAAAAAGCAAACTAAACAGTGTCATTTTATCAAATTAAGATGAGCCCGCCGGTATTGGCATTGCCAGAATACTTGGCGCTCAAGAGCAAGTCCAACGGCAAGTACCTGCGCTACGTTCGTGACGATCCCAATGCACGCGCCGTGCTCCAGTTCTCCGGCGACGAACTCGTGAGCACTTCCGTCAAGTTCCAATCAAACGCAGTCTCCCTCCCCGTGGACGACGGAAGGCCAACGACGGCGTACCATCTGAGGTGCTGCTACAACAACAAGTACTGGCAGAAAGCCGGCCAAGCCGAGAGCTACATTTCCGCAGGTGAGACTCCGGACGAGGACACGTCCAAATGGTCATGCACGCTCTTCAAGCCCGAGTTCGACCACCACCAGGGTACCGTCCGACTGGTGCACGTCCAGTCGGGCGGTTACCTTGGTCGCGGTAATTCACAACCTCCTCCTGCTGCTACTGGTCCCGACTGTTTGGTAGTCGGGCTGCCAGCAGCAGCAGCAGAAGTCTGCGAGGTGGTGAATTACTCGGAGGCGGTGGTGATGCTGCCTAAGCTCGTGGCGTTCAAGGGAGACAACGGCAAGTACCTCAAGGCTGTCAGCATTGACCCCGTTGTAAACACGCGGTTCCCAATCTATAATCTCCCTACTTTCAGGGCAATCCAGTTCTCGGGCAACGAGATCTACGACCGGTCCGTGGCCCACGAGGTGGTTATGAACCCGGTGGATGGTACCGTTCGCATCAAATCCGTTTCACACGACGGTACCGGAGGAGGAAGGTTCTGGAGGCGGAACGAGGTAGAGGGGAACTGGATCTTCTGGGATTCCAGGGACCCCACGTTTAAAAACAAGGACACGGTGTTCAGGGTGCACCGGTTGCACCCCTCGGAGCCGCAGTATGGTCTCACAAACTGCGGCTCCGACCTGCCCTGCAAGCGATACAACGGCTCCACGTTCCAACAGTGCCTCCGAGCGTCAGGCACGGACGTGGAGCCGTATAACAAACTCTGGGTGGAAGAGCCCGTCCTCTGGAGGCGCATGTACGACGGTGATTTCCGTACGGAGGACGCCAGGTTCTACCCGCTGGAGCCACCAAAAGTCGACACGGAAATCTACAGAAACGAGACCCCAAATCCATCGAAAGTGGGGAGGAAGTTTGGGAAGACAGTGAGCCACACAACTTCTTGGACCAACTCTTACGGTTGGAAGGTAGGCGGCAAAGTCGAGATCACCACGGACTTCAAAGGGATTCCGTTCCTCAAGGAAGGAAAGCTCGAAATCTCGAGCGAATACTCTGAAGAAAAAACCGAAGGAGCATCCGAGGAACGGGGCGAGAGCTCGGAGATTGCGAGCGAGGTCACTGTTTCTCCTATGAAACAGCTGAGAATTACCACGACCAAGACCAAGACCGCGTGTGACGTCCCTTTCGATTACTCGTACACCGAGAAGCTTTACGATGGCACCGCCACGGACTATCGAGTCCAGGATGGCCTCTTTACTACCACCACGACCGTGGTCGAGGTTGCAAGTAAAGAAGAAGATCTGCAGCAGGATTAAACAGCAGCGGGGCGGGTTTAAATTACCATCACCAACTGTTCAAATTATTATGAAGTTAATTCTAGAATTTACCACGAAAATAAATTAAATAATCAAAACAATAAAATGAGCCAAGAATAAAATTGCCGTGTATGTATGGCAGTTGGGATATTTTCCCAATATTATCAACAATTAACATAAAAGAGAGCACTTCTACTATGCTATATAGTATTGGTGCTTTAATGTACAACTTGAAGTTGTACCATAACATTAAATGTATAAGTTTAGGTTGTACCATAAAGGAATTTGTATCATTATGTTATGGTACAACTTTACAACTTGAAGTTGTACCATCAGACAAGGTACAAGTTTAAGTTGTACCATAAAAGAATTTGTACAAAAAGTATAGGTACAATCTGAAGTTGTACCATAACGTTAAAGGTACAATTTCAAGTTGTACCATAAAGACAAAAACCTATAGCACCAATGCTATATAGCATTGTAAAATTCCTCCATAAAAGAAGGGGCAAATAATTGTGGATGGAAACCTCTGGGGGAAAAAATATCCTTTACAAGAAGGAAAAAAATTGTTCCCTTGTTCCATTACTCATATCTCTGCAGCCACCTCTATCCAATTCCCAAAACTCAAAACTTCCCATGTATAATCAATAAACGTTATGAATGCTTTCATAACGAAATCATCAGCATCATTTCCCAGGCCACTTCATGTTTAGTTCCACCGATCCGATGTAATAGATGCATAAAAGCATCCTTCCTCTTTGAATTCTCCATTTCTTTCCCACAGAATCCCTCTGCGTTGATGATGTGCTGTTACAGGCGACTCTTCATTACATTGAGATTCTTATTTTACTTCGATAAACTAGGGGTGAAAGTTTGACCCGGAAGACCCACTGACCCGTCCTTTTAGTTTGTTTACAGGGTTGACCCTGTAAGGATCGGGACGGATGAGGACAACTTAGGGTTTATGAATTATTATATGATGGTTAACAACTGGCGTATTTTTGGAGTATACTATACTTCAAATAATCTGATTGTTGGATTTATTTTAATTATATTTCGACAAATTAGTATAAATTATAATTATTTTTATTAAAAGTTTGAGTATAATATCATATCTCAAATTCAACTTTATTTATTGTCTGAATAAAAATATTTCACTAAAACCCATTGAAAATTGTGTAGTACAAGAGTATCACCTATAAATAATAAACCTAACCTAAAGTTTCACTATTTTCAAGCTGTTGTCTTCGGTGGCTTGATTGTTCCTGGTTCGTACACGTGGTTCCTCTCAAGCAAAAGCTACCCTTTGGATTTATCTAATATTTAACTGGAGCAAAGCAGTTAAGAACTATGCCATTAATGGATATACGACTTTTAACATTTAATTCGCGCTCGGAAGGAAATGAGTTCGCGATTTCTTGCCGGTTTCATTATAAGTCGCGCTTTGGCGCGCTGGAGCGGGATCCTGGAAGCACGAATTAGGTTACAAAAGTAAAAACTTTCTAGATATGGTTTTGTGACTTTGCGAACCCCTCTTTTTGTCAACGGCTCCCTCTATTTATAGCCATGAGGTGATACCTAATGTACGTGTAGAACGGATGCTTGATAACGCCCAAAAAAAAATCACTCTCTTCTTTCTCGAATGTGGCTGACGTGTCTTTTCAAACGTCGAGCTAGCTAGTTATAGGTGTTCGTTAACCTGTCTTGACACCTCCCTTGCCTCGTGGCCGTAGGGCCTACTGGGTAAGTAGGTCACATATCGGGACTTAGTGTCTTGAAAGAGACACTATTCTCGGTGCGGATGGCCCCTTGATGAGAATTCAAGGCCCCATTGACTCGTGGCGCATTTATACAGAATGGTAAAGGGGCTCCTCTATGAGATTTGGAGATAATGGCTAATTGAAAGGTCCGAGACGACCCAAAAAGCACTTGGTCATGATCCCCTTTGTGGGCCTACTTGGGTATGAAGCATTTACTTGTAAAAATCGAATTCCTTACAATCGATAATTGAAATTAAACTCTGAGCCACCGGTTCAAGTACAAGAGATTATCATTACCACCTGGACAATTAGACATCCAACCCGTAATCGCAACGATCAGTGAGGGAATGCTAAACGTTTGGTGATTTTTCCCCCGACCAGGATAAAAGATCCCATTGAAGCGGCTAATCCCATGTATATTGTATGTACATCTGGTCGCAACGTGATCTTGCTCGTGAGGGTAATGAAATTATTCGTGAGGCTAGCAAATGGAGTCCTGGATTGGCTGCTGCTTGTGAAGTATGGAAGGAAATTAAAATTGAATACGCTGCAATGGATACCTTGTAATCTACTAATTGACATTTGTTCCTCATGTGATACTTAGCGATTTGGGCTTAAAATCTAGCGAGCTGCCAGTCCAATTTTAATTAAGATAATTTGTTATAGTTAATTTTGTCTTATAAGAACGTGTTGGTATTGATGCCTCAAATTAATTCAAGACTTGGAGTTATGGAAGACACTTGAGGTTACTTGGGGTTATGAAAGTTAATGACCACATGGAGTTAATTGTGTGGAGTTTTTATTTGGTTAATGGGAGTGCCGTTCACTTTTTCTTTGGCATCTCATAAGCCATTTTACATGGCTATAAATAGAGAGTCTATTGTTGTTGAATAGACACACCAATTCCATCCAACTCCATTATTCTCCTAAAAGTGTAGAATCTTCTTGAGTACTTTTCTTTTATGTTGGGAGTTTTCTACTTGCTCCACAACTTTGTACGTTGAAGATTATTCCTTGATCATAGTGGATTTACTGGCTTGTCCAGCCCGTGGTTTTTCTCCCTCTTCTTTGGAGGGTTTTCCACGTAAAATTGGTGTCTTGTCTTTGTTCATTCTCTTCTCTATTTTCTTGTTCGATTTCATATTGGGTTTGCTTCCGCTAGTGCTCATTTATATCCAGGTTCAAAAGTCTATAAAAGACAACAAGTGGTATCTGAGCCCTTGACAACCAATTGAAATCCTCGACAAGATGACTGCAAAGTTTGACTTTGAGAAGTTTGATGGCAAGATATCATTCTCGATATGGAGAATTCAAATGAAGGCAATTTTGACACAAAATGGTGTTCAAAAGGCTTTACTTGGTCTCGAAGCCAAACCAGAGACCTTGACTGATGTCCAATGGGAAGAGCTCGATGAAAAGGCTCTTAATGCTATTCAATTATGCCTGTCAAAATCGGTTTTGCAGGAGGTGGTGAGTGAGACAACTGCAATTAGACTTTGGACAAAATTAGAGTCACTTTACATGACGAAAAGTCTCGCTAACAAGCTTCGTCTAATAGAGAAGTTGTACACTACTCGTATGGCTGAAGGTACTCCAATTCAAACCCATCTTTCTACCTTCAATTCCATTGTTATGGACTTGGAAAATATTGACGTGAAAATTGAAGATGAGGATAAAGCTGTTTTATTAATATGCTCATTGCCCCAGTCCTTTAAACACTTTAAAGAGATCATGCTCTATGGAAATATGGATACTTTGTCTTATGAAGATGTAAAATCTAACTTACTGTCAAAAGAAAATTTTGACTTTGAGTCCAGTTCTAATGACAAAGGTGAAGGTCTATTTATAAGAGGAAGATCCAAGGAAAAAGGGGAATCAAGCAAAGGTAAAGGTAAAGCTCGATCCAAGTCACATGGTCGAAAATCTGATGATGGGAAGTACTGTCGCTATTGTCGCAAAACTGGTCATGAAATTTCTAATTGTTTCAAATTAAAGGCCAAAGAAGAAAAGAAAAAGCAATCTCAAAAGGCTTCTGAATCCGGAGAAGCTAGTATCGTCAATGACGATTCTGATGGTGAAGGTTTGGCAACAATTTCTTCTTACGATGGCAGTAATTCGGATGTTTGGGTCCTTGATTCTGCATGCACTTTTCATATTTGTCCCAATAAGAACTGGTTCAAAACACTTAAACCTGTTAATTCTGGTGTTGTGCTAATGGGAAATGATGATCCTTGCAAAGTTCTTGGTATTGGTACAATTGAAATGCGTCTTCATGATGGGGTTGTCAGAACTCTTTCTGATGTTCGCTATGTTCCTGACATGAAGCGAAATCTTATTTCTTTAGGCACCCTCGAGTCTCTTGGGTGCAGATATGGAGCTGAAGGTGGAGTTCTTAAGGTATCTAGAGGTTCTCTTGTTTTGATGAAAGCTAACCGCATTGGTATGATATATGTCCTGCAAGGTTCTGTTGTTACAAGTTCAGCAGATATTTCTACCTCGCTGCTTGATTCGCATAATACTCAATTATGGCATATGCGGCTAGGACATATGGGTGAAAAGCCAATGACAGTTCTAAGCAAGAGAGGACTATTGGGGAACCAAAATTTTGGGAAACTTGACTTTTGTGAACATTGTATCTTCGGGAAGAAGAAAAAGGTCAGTTTCTCTCCTGCTTCCCATAGTTCCAATGGGGTGCTTGATTATATTCACTCGGATTTATGGGGACCCTCTAAATTCCCTTCCATAGGAGGTCGTAGATACATGATGACAATTATTGATGATTTCTCTCGTAAAGTTTGGGTTTATTTCTTACGGAACAAAAATGAAGCCTTCTCTGCATTTAAAAAGTGGAAAGTGCTAGTTGAAACTCAATCAGGAAAGAAAGGTAAGAAGCTTAGAACTGACAATGGATTGGAATTCTGTGAAAATGAGTTTAATGAATTTTGTTCCTCACATGGAATCGGAAGACACAAAACTCTAGTTAAAACACCTCAGCAAAATGGTGTTGCCGAAAGACTTAACAGAACAATTCTCGAAAGGACTCGGTGTATGATGTCAAATGCAGGTTTATGGCATAGACGTGATTTATGGGCAGAAGCTGCAGCCACAGCTTGGTATTTAATCAACCGTTCTCCACATAAGTCATTGGATTATTAAATTTCAGAAGAAATTTGGACAGGTAAACCAGTTGATTATTCCAAATTAAGAATATTTGGTTGCCCATCATATTATCACGTAAATGAGGGTAAGCTCTCTCCAAGAGCTAAAAGGTGTTTATTTCTGGGATATTTTATGGAGTCAAAAGGCTATCGTTTTTGGTGTATTGAATCTCACAAGGTTATTCAAAGTAGAGATGTTACATTTAACGAAGATGCCTTATTTTCTGTCAAAGATGGTACTTCTTCGTCCCATGATGCAGAAAATCTTGAGACTCCAAGAGACAAGGTGGAGTTCGAACAACAAGTTGATTCACCTACCCATCTATCTTCTCTAGAGTTAAATCCTAGTGAAGTTCAAAATGAGGAAATGCCACCTCAAGTGCCACAAGATTATATCTTGGCTCGAGATCGGCCAAGGAGAGTTATACAAAAACCTGCTCGATATAGAGATGATGAGCTTGTTGCGTATGCTCTCTCCGTTGCACAAGAAATTTCAAAAGAAATTGAGCCTTCTTCTTTCAAAGAAGCTATATCTTGTGTAGATTCATCTAAATGGCTTGCGGCAATGAATGAAGAAAACGAAATTTTGTTGAAGAATAATACATGGGAATTATGTATCCTTCCTACGGGGAAGAAAGCTCTTTCAAATAAGTGGATATACAAAAAGAAAGAAGGAATTCCTGGCATTGAAGAGGCAAGATGGAGGGCGCGATTGGTTGTTCGCGGCTGCAACCAACGTGAAGGTATTGATTTCAATGAAATCTTTTCTCCTGTTGTGCGTCACACTTCCATAAGAATTTTGCTCTCTTTTGTTGCTCTCTTTGATTTGGAGTTAGAGCAACTTGATGTGAAAACTGCTTTCCTTCATTGTGATCTCGAGGAGGAGATATACATGAAGCAACCAGAAGGCTTTGTGACTCCAGGAAAGGAGCATATGGTTTGTCGCTTGAGAAAATCATTATATGGTCTCAAGCAAGCTCCTAGACAATGCTATAAGCGTTTTGATACTTTTATGATTGGAAATGGTTATACACGAAGTCAATTTGATAATTGTGTATATTTCCAAAAATTTCCCGAGGGCTCCTACATATATCTACTTCTTTATGTTGATGACATGCTTATTGCTTCTAAGAACAGAATGTTGGTCGAAAGGTTAAAGTCACAACTAAAAGGAGAATTTGAGATGAAGGACCTTGGAGCAGCAAAGAGGATTTTAGGTATGGAGATCCAAAGAGATCGACAAGCTGGTAAATTATTTTTGAACCAAAGAAAGTACATTGATAAGGTACTTGAAAGGTTCGGAATGATTGATTGTAAGCCCACTTCTACTCCTCTCGCTGCTCATTTCAAGTTATCTACTGCTTATTGTCCAACAACAAATGAAGAAGTGGATTATATGGCTAGCGTTCCATATTCGAGTGCAGTTGGCAGTTTGATGTATGCTATGGTCTGCACAAGACCCGATCTTGCATATGCAGTAAGTGTTGTCAGCGGGTATATGCAAAATCCAGGAAAAGAACATTGGAATGCTGTGAAGTGGATACTTCGGTATTAATTGAAGGGAACCCGTGATATGGGTCTATTGTTTGAGAGGAGTGAAAATCCTTCCAATAATATTATAGGCTTCACAGATTCTGATTTTGCAGGTGACTTAGATAAACGGAAGTCTCTTTCCGGATATGTTTTCACTCTCTGCAATTCATGTGTTAGCTGGAAATCTTGTTTGCAACCCGTAACTGCTTTGTCAACTACAGAAGCAGAGTATGTTGCTATTTCTGAGGGGGTTAAAGAGGCTATTTGGGTTACGTGGCCTAGTTATTGAGCTTGGAGTTGAACAAACTGTTTCAACCGTATTTTCGGATAGTCAAAGTGCCATTCACTTGACTAAAAATGACATGTATCATGCAAAGACAAAACATATAGAAGTCAAGTACCACTTTGTCCGAGATGTTATGGTTGCAGGTGATATTAGTGTGAAGAAAGTTCATACTGACAACAATCCTGCAGATATACTCACTAAAGTTCTTCCTTCCACTAAGTTTGATCGTTGTCTGAACTTAGTTGGAATTCGAAGAGCTTGATTACCTCTCATGGGTTTCTGGACAAGTCTTTCTAAATTTGATTCAAGGTGGAGATTGTTGGTATTGATGCCTCAAATTAATTCAAGACTTGGAGTTATGGAAGACACTTGAGGTTACTTGGGGTTATGAAAGTTAATGACCACATGGAGTTAATTGTGTGGAGTTTTTATTTGGTTAATGGGAGTGCCGTTCACTTTTTCTTTGGCATCTCATAAGCCATTTTACATGGCTATAAATAGAGAGTCTATTGTTGTTGAATAGACACACCAATTCCATCCAACTCCATTATTCTCCTAAAAGTGTAGAATCTTCTTGAGTACTTTTCTTTTATGTTAGGAGTTTTCTACTTGCTCCACAACTTTGTACGTTGAAGATTATTCCTTGATCATAGTGGATTTACTGGCTTGTCCAGCCCGTGGTTTTTCTCCCTCCTCTTTGGAGGGTTTTCCACGTAAAATTGGTGTCTTGTCTTTGTTCATTCTCTTCTCTATTTTCTTGTTCGATTTCATATTGGGTTTGCTTCCGCTAGTGCTCATTTATATCCAGGTTCAAAAGTCTATAAAAGACAACAGAACGACTAATCATTTTCTTATTTTTAGGTGTAAACAAGAATGGTTGAATACTTTTTTCAGCTTCAAACTAGCCTTCTGTCTATCGACAAGTTTCACGAGTGAACTGATGATGAATTATTCCTGAAGTCATTCTGCTTGTTAGGGATACATAAAAATGGATTTACTCTACTCAATCGTCTACCCAATGATTAATTACAAAAAAAAAAAATTGTCTTTAAGTATAAAATAACATTCGTTGCTTATGAAAAATACAACTTATGAACAAAAAAAATATATTATCAAAATTTTATTTTCCATGGACTACATGCTACAACACAGCTCTCAGATTAAACGACAAACCCGCCGAACATAATCCGCAGATACCTTAAGCGCCACGAGTAACAAAATACAAGTAGCAGCCCTCCAAAGGATCCAATTGCTAATAAATAATAACATTGAGAGAAGAAGAAGAAGAAGAAGAAACAAACCCTAAGCGCATTTCATTGCTGTTGTTAATATAATTATGATGATCCTCAGACGATTACTAGCGGCGGTCGTTCTGACGACGGTGATACGAGGTCCGGTCGTCGGGGAGAGGATTCAGGTCACCAACAAGTTAGAGCTGGAGATGGCGGTGATAGTGCACTGCGCATCCAAAGACGACGATCTAGGAGGCCGGCCCCTCGACTTCAATGCCTCGTACGCTTGGCGTTTCGAGCGGAACTTCTTCTGGGGGACGGTTTTCTGGTGCCACGTGGCGTTTCGGGGTAGCCGTCTTTCCTTCACCGCGTACGATCAAGGCCAACTTGGGGATATCCAGGACTACGATGTGCGCAGTGACGGGGTTTCTGGGACCGACCTTCAAACCGGCCAACTAGTTCACGTCTGTTCGTGGAACCCGAAATTTTAAACTCAGTTCTGATTCGGCAGAGAAGGGGTTCAACTTGGGTTTGGGTTAAGTTTTATTATATGGATGGGTTAATGACGTGGTGGGTCTGTTTTTTTTTTTTTTTTACTTTTGTTAGCCACATCAGCAATTAACTAACGTGTTAACGGAGTCTGGCTGAGGCTAACGGTCAGTGATCAAATTTGGACTACGATACTAATTTAAGTTAGTAGCAAACGTGAAATGTCGTAGTAATTTCAGTGACCAAACTTGCAATTTACCCATCTTTAAAAATTGAGTAGTGTGGTTTTTATGCTTGGGTATACGAATATTTCAATGTTAATGTTATATTTGGATCTTAAGTAAATATGTTTGGGGTATTTATCATATGTTAGATTTAACAGGCGTACATTGTACGCCCGTCGAGTTTTACTATTTAGAGCACGAATTAATCGGAGTTTGTGACATGATACTATACCCTAACCTCTAATGGGTTAAGATAGACATTATGAAAGCCTTCAACTCTATTGATTGGTCTTTCCTAATCTCTGTGCTTGATATGATGGGGGTTCCTGATATGTTTCTTAAGTGGTTGCAAGCCTATGTTTGTGGTCCAAAGATTAATGTAGGCTTAAATGGAGGTATCTGTGGTTTTTCGATATGAAACGAGGTCTTAGACATGGGGACCAGTTATCCCCCAATCTTTTTTACGGTTGAAATAGAGGTGTTTGATGCAATGTTAAAAATGGTAGATAGGCAAAACCAAATTCTCTTTCACCCCAGGTGTAAGTCGTTAGCAATTACACATCTATGTTTTGCTGACGATTTGCTTGTATTTACAAATGGTTTCCTTCGAGGTGTGGCTGGTGTTTGTCGGGTTTTAGATGCGTTCTACAAGGTTTCTGATCTGAAATGTAATCCGGACAAATGTCAGTTGTTCTATGGTGGAATCTCTAATGTTGAGCAGCATTCTGTTTCATCATTTTCGAAGTTTCCTCTGGCAGTTCTGCCTGTACGTTATCTTGGAGTCCCTCTAATCACAGGTAAACGTACTAGAGCAGAGTGCAGGGTCCTTATTGACAAGATTACTCCAAAAATTCGTACTTGGAGGGCCAAGTCGCTCAGTTTCGCTAGCAGATTGTAGCTAATTTCCTCTGTTCTGGCCAACATCATGCAGTTCTGGATGGGGATTTTTCTTCTTCCTCAGTTTGTTATTAAGGAAGTTGAGTTTATCTATAACATATTTATGTGGGACATTGATGATTCATCAATTAGGAAGACGGTTGTTACATCTTCGCATTTTCTTGCTTGTCCGAAGTGAGAGGGAGGTCTTGGGATTAGTAGTTTTGTTTGGAACAAAGCCTCCATTTTAAGGCATCTCTTGGGATTCGTAGTCTTGGAATTCGTAGTTTTGTGATGTACTGCTACATTTTACCAATGAACTATCTCACTATAAATTATCAATTTTATTAATCACTGTCATCAAATATCATTACAAGCTTGAGCAGGGGGAAAAAACAGATTACAAATATCGCCCCAATATCATAATTAATGACGAGGAAGCAGCAGCTGGTTACTAATGCTATGATCCAAAAAGCGTTGGTTTAGCGGTGGTCCTTTTGGCCGCCGGTTATTATGATACTGCGGCGGGATGGGAGAAGGTGACTATACAAGTTACCAACAAGTTGAGCAGCGGACGGATACTGATAGTGCACTGCAAATCCAAAGACGGGGACCTTGGGGGCCGTCCCAGTTAGAAACCGAACAGGAAATTAGAAATACCGATCTGGAGTTGAGTCACGGACTAGGTCGCTCTCTTTAAGACGTTGGTGGCACTGCGCTCGTTGCGCACGACAGACTATCAACCGTTCGCCTCCAGGATAAAACAGTTCATCTAAGGTGCTCGAAAGTTTTTTGCAAAAATCGGAGCTCTCTGAATACACACTCTCTCTCGTGTTTCTGCTCTCTAATTGTATGTTTAGAGGGTCTGGTGAGTGCTCTATTTATAAGAGTAAAACCCTAGAAAATTCCCTCTTTCGTGGCGAATAAGTTACACTTAACTAGGAAGATTATTACTCTCATAATCAAAATATGTTCTATTAAGATAATTAACAATAATTATCTTCATAATATTTCTTTTATTAATTATCCTTCTTATTAGGAAGATTATTACTCTCATAATTTTCTAGCTATAATCTTGTAACGAGGATTCGAACCTTGGCGACTGGAAAGCCGAAGGTTTGGCGAATTCAAATGTGTGGGGTTATGGTCATAAGAGCAGGGACCAAAAGCCTATCCGTAACTACATTTCTTAAATTTGTAACAAATTTGACACATATATTTCTAATTATGTTTGGAAGTTTAGTGCGTCGCTAGGCCTCAATGTTACTGTCACTAATCGTCCATGTCTTCTCATGGGTTTTAATAACCTTATCTTGCGTGGAACAGACTCCAAATTCTATACAAGAGCAACGTTTCTTGCAAAGAAAGTGACTTAAAGGTTTTCGTGACTACAGAAAGGGGTCTTTGCAAAATTCACGGTTTCCATTTGTAATTCCCAATAATCGGTAAAGGTCATCTCATCCTGCATGAGACTGCCAAATGCCAATTATTGATTGCCAAAGCTTTCTTTTTGCAACCAATAGGAACGGCCACCTAGTAGTTCCTTTTTTGTGACCATTTCCATGGCTTTTATATTTTGGGCGACCACACTATGGTTGCTGGAAATGACTTCTGGCGACCACAGTGATTCATAATGAATGGTTTATCTTCGAATATTGAGTAGTTTGCCTTTTATGTTTTGAACTCTAGAAATTGAGCACTTTTACTATGCTATGGTGCTTTTAGTGTATAACTTGAAGTTGTACAATAACGTTAAATGTATAAGTTCAGGTTATATCATAATAAAGGAATTTGTACTCTTATGTTATGTACAACTTTACAACTTAAAGTTGTACCATCACATAAAGGTACAAGTTCAAGTTGTACCATAAAAGAATTTGTACAAAAGAGTATAGGTACAATCTGAAATTGTACCATAACGTTAAAATACAACTTCAAGTTGTACCATAAAAGAAAAAACATATAACACGAATGCTATATATATAACATTGTAAAATTCCTAATGCCCTCAAAACCAAACGCCAAACTAGCGGCAATAATCTAGAGATACCATTAATCCAAGCAACAAAACAGCCACAATCAAGGACTAAACACAGAAGGTCAAAAGAAATTAACAGAGCCGTACGTACCCAAGAGCCCTATATATTAATTACCCCCACCTTTTATTAATGAACTATCTCATTATAGATAAATCATCAATTTTATTACTCACTAATTCACTATCTCATTATCTGCATTTGCTGTTTCATTTGTTCTCCTCTTCCCACTCCTTGTGGGTTATCTGTACATTAACTTTCTTCTGGTTTCGTTCATTTAATTTAAGTTCTTCATCATTATTAGGCCTAGCTATTTGGTCCGGGACTGTTTGGTTTTACTCGAAACCGGACCGTATAACCCGGACCGGGACCGGACCGGGACCGGATAGCAAACAATTCAATCTCATATTCGGGCTTAGATTTGAGATAAAAAACCGGATAAGAGACCGGATAAGAGACCCCCAACACCTAAAATCAAGATCAAATTAGGACCGAACCGGATCAAGACTGGATTGTATCCAATCCAATCTTTGGTCCTTATATTCTCGAAAAGACCGGACTAGGACCGGAGTAATTTGGTCTAATTTAACCGAACCGGATCGTATAGCCACTATCGTTATTAAAAAAAAGATTACTAATAAAGCCCTTTCTTATTTTCCATGCCAAGATCGGGTGATCAGCAAACTCGCTCGTCATCCACCAACCCAACCGTCGGCCCACTCCCCAAATCTTGATGGTCGACCCAATTCCGCCGGTTGAACCCACCCGCGAATAGATTCCTAGAATTGAACGACAGGACCGCCGAAAATAATCCTCAAATATTATACTTCCAAGTAACACAAGAGTTCACAAGTTATAAATAAAGGCACAGAATTAGGCCCAACAATATAACGTTCCATACTTTTACTGTATTCCAAACCCGCCGAATATAATCCGGAGATACCGTAACAGCCACAAGCAAGTACTAACAAGAAGCCGCCCTCAAACGGATAACCATTGCCAAAGTCACAGAGCTAGCCGTTAGTACCAAGAATCCATATATCGCACTATAAATATACCAACACAAAATAATAGCGCTCATTATTACAATGACGAGGAAGCAGCAGCACCAGATGGCGATCACGATCCACAGGGCGTTGCTAGTAGCGACGGTCGTTTTAGCGACGGTAATACGAAACTCCGTCGTCGTCGTCGACGCGAGGGAGATTCAGATTAGCAACCAGGTAAGCCTCAAGATGGCCGTGATAGTGCACTGCGCGTCCAAAGACAGCGACCTCGGCGCCCATCTCCTCGGCTACAATGATACGGTCAGTTGGTACTTCGAGCCGAACCTTTTCGGAGGGACGTTGTTTTGGTGCAACGCGGCGTTTCGAGATGGTCGTCTTTCCTTTGTGGCTTACGATCAGGAGAGCGATCTAACTCAGTTACAGTACTGGGTTGTCGATGAAAAAGGGGCTTATGGGAGGCGGAGCAGCAGTGGGCCCTATGCACGTTTTGTGGCCCAGTGGATGCGAGTTTGGGTCCCCGGCCCGTAGGTTTTTTGATGAATTTGTGTCTAAGTCGGGTGATTTGCTTAGTTACCGTTTTTACCATTTTTTGTTTTTCTATGTGGGGAAGGGCCCCATGGTTGGGGGTCTATTGTAACCGCTTGTCTCTTTTCATATTTTACTGATTTACCTTCAGTTTGTAATCCAGTGAAAGAACGGACGTTGAATTGATTTAAACGTGTCTTAAACTTCTTAGACGGTGATTAATTACTAAGACATGATTCACGCCTCATTGAGTAAAGTTTAAATGAGAGTGTGCTTGATTGATAGTTTAGGGACACGATGTAACTACGCGATGTCACTTTCGCAAGTAGTTTCAGCGTGAGAGCTCCGAGAACTAAACTACGGCTTAATTTGTAGAAAAGGGTAAAAATAAAACTTGGCATGGGCGTCAAGTTGTTGGGTTTTGCAGACATCTCTCTTAGTGGATTCATCCTCCTATTTATAGCTATGGAGCGATAATCACTACAGAGAGTTGCCTGCTTGATAACTCCAGTAAAGAAACCAATATCATGTTCCTCATACATACGTGGTTGGCATGTCTTTAAACGTAAGGTCAGTTATAGTTCTTCTCTCAACATGCTTACGCACCTTTCTGGTGCAACCTCGCGGTCGAAGATTGGCTTTTTTTTTTCTTTCGCGTACGATGCACACAAGCACGGGATTTACTACATTGCCATGTGGGAAGTCTGCGATGACGGGCTTTTTGGGAGGTACATGTCTAGTGGATATCGACATTTCATCTGTCGATGGAACTTGTTGGGAAAAGACTGGGTACCCGTGATCTCCAGATGACTTTTTTTTTTTTTTTTTTGCTAATTGATCTTGGTGTGGAATGAAGTAGCTAGGTCGGCCTTTTTATGGTGTAATGTGTGTTTTGAGATGCAGTGGACCACTGTAGTTCATGTGTGGGTTCGATCCTCACCCAATTCTCTTTGTTGATTTGCCATGTTCTTTGAGTTTTTTTTTTTTTCTTCTTATGATAATGTATATTAATTTTCAAATAATATACACTTTAATTTCCTTGCTTTTGAATCATCGTTGAAACTTTTTCCAAATTTACACTACAAGAAAAATGTGCTCATATCCGGCACCAATTAAGAATAGTCGCAAAAGTAGCAACGTGGTGGCTAAAGGTTTTGGTAACCAAAAGTCATGTAACTAATCAATCGTGTTTATTTATTTTTCATGTGTAAACAAAAGATTGTTTAAAACCTTTTCAGCTTCAAACTAGCTTGTCTACTATCAAAACGACAAGTTTCACGAGTAAGCTGGTAATGAATTATTCCTGAATTACTAACTGCTTGTTAGGATACATTCAAAATAGATTTACTCTAGCTACTCAATAGTCTCAATGACTAATTATAAATATTTACGTGTTAAGTATAAAAAGAAAACGAATTCGTCGCTTATGAAAAATACAACATATGAACGAAAAAATATATTATCAAAATTTTCTTTTCCATGGACTACAACACATCTCTCAGATTAAAACGACAAACCCGCCGAATAAAATCCGCAGTCCGTAAGAGCCACGAGTAACAAAATACAAGAAGCAGCCCTCCAAAGTATCCAACAATTGCAAAGACACACTCGCTATAAATATACAACATTGTCATAAAATCGATTGAGAAGAAAAGAAAGAAAAAAAAAAACTAAGCATTTCATTGTTGTTGTTGTTGTTATGATCCCCAAAGCGTTACTAGCGGCGGTCGTTCTAGCGACGGTGATACGAGGCTTCTTCGGTGCGAGGATTCGGGTTACCAACAAGTTAGAGCTCGAGATGGCGGTGATAGTGCATTGCGCATCCAAGGACGACGACCTCCGAGGCCAGCTCCTCGACTTCAATGCTACATACGAGTGGCGTTTCGAGAGGAACTTTTTCGGGGGAACTGTTTTCTGGTGCAACCTGGCGTTTCGAGATAACCGTCTTTCTTTCACCGCGTACGATCAGGACAATCTTTCGTACATCCTGGACTACGATGTAAGCAGCGATGGAGTTTCTGGGGAAGACATTCGAACCAGCGGCCGACAAGTTCATGTCTGTTCGTGGAACAGGAAGGTTGTTGCCAACTGAATTTGACGTACAAAACGGTAATTACCGAACGTCCAAAGGTAAATTAGGATACAAACTGTTGTACCCATTTTCTGATTCTCTGATTCAGTACACGTTACATTTCATTTATAGAGGTGGAGACTTTTGTTGATGGTTATAATAAGCAACTTCATGTTAAATATGATGTTCTAACTTCTAAGCCACAAGTTGATATTTTGGGTATAAATAGATTTAAAATATATCCTTTTGTGGTTGCAGTTTAGTCCGATTTTTGACATAATAAACGATTTCTAGATAACCGTCTTTCAATTAGCGATTACACCCTCGTGGTGTGGTCCCTAATGGATCGCGCCAAGTGTGTTAGACCTTTGGTGGATGTGTTTCAAAGACGGTCCAAGGAATTGATACTTGGCCCTAATATCTGCGTAGCCAAAAAAAAAAAACATACGAACATTCAACTCAAAGTTTTAGGGAAATTGATTTGAGTATGATGTGACTGATAAAATATTTCAATGTTTCTTGTATTCTTATTCAATGTAGATGAAGATGAATGGTTTATCTTTGGAGATTGAGTAGTTTGGTTTTTATGTTTTGAATTGTAAGTGTGCATACTTGAATGTAAATGAGGAATTTTACAATGCTATATAGCATTGGTGCTATAGGTTCTTGCCTTTATGGTACAACTTGAAATTGTACATTTAACGTTATGGTACAACTTCATATTGTACCTATATTTTTTGTACAAATTCTTTTATGGTACAATTTAAACTTGTACCTTATGTGATGGTACAACTTCAACTTGTAAAGTTGTACCATAACATGATTATCCAAATTTCTTTATGGTACAACACAAACTTATACATTCAATGTTATGGTACAACTTCAAGTTGTAAATTAAAGCACCAATGCTATATAGCATAGTAGAAGTGCTCGAATGTAAATAGTACATATGTTGAATTTAAGTATATTAGAGGTTTTACACGTATGTTGAAATTAATTGTTCACGTTTTAATAAATTTATATGTTGTATTCAACTACGAGTATTTTTCATTCCGATGTACTGCTATATTTTATCTAATTTGAACGTTGCTATGTTGAGGATATTAATTATTTAGTCAAAAATAATTAATTCCTTTTCCTCCAAGTCCTTGTTTCCTTGTCCTTGTCAAAGAAGGAAACTTGGTTGTCATTAGGATTTTAACCCTACGTCTATCTATATAAGCTTAGCTACGAGATTGTCGTAAGCAAGCCGTCAAGATGTAATCCTAATAAGAGATCAGTCGTGAGCTCTTATGAGCTCACCGTGGATTAGTCTCGATCAATCAATCGATCGAGGATACCACGTAAAACTCGTTGTCCCGTGTTATTTTCAATTCCGCATCATCAAATTCTACATGCTATTGTTGATATATATTTGAATAACAACTTATACTAAGTTGCATAATATTTTGATTTTATTATTATAACATATTCTGCCTAAATTCATTCGACCACTAACTCTTAACTCGCTTCTTTTCACCATTGAAACCCGATTGACAACATTTGATCACAGCTATTCGGCCATAAATCCCTCAAAACCAACGACAAGCTAGCGGCAATAATCTAGAGATATAATATCAATCCAAGCAATAAAACAGCCACAATCATGAACTAAACATAGAAGGTCAATAGAAATTAACAGAGCCGTATGTTACCCAAGAGCCCTACCTCTATCCACCACGCACCTTTAGTCATACTATCAATCATCAATTTTATTAATCACTATCATCAAATATCAGCTTCAGCAGGGGAAAAAAATAAAAAAAGATTACCAATATCAACCCAATATCATAATTAATGACGAGGAAGCAGCAGCTGGTTACTAATACTATGATCCACAAAGCGTTGCTAGCGGCGGTCCTTTTGGCCGCCGGTTATTATGATACCGCGGAGGGATGGGAGAAGGTGACTATACAAGTTACCAACAAGTTGAGCAGCGGACGGATGCTGATAGTGCACTGCAAATCCAAAGACGACGATCTCGGGGGCCGCGCCATCGCCGCCGGTGCTAATACCAGTTTGATTTTTGGTCAGAACGTGTTCCGCGGGACGCTGTTCTGGTGCAGCGCCGCGCAGGAAGATAAGCGTCTTTCTTTCGTCGCGTTCGAGCAGAACGATCGCAGCAAGTACGTCCGAGTCTTCGATGTCTCGGACGACGGAGTCGACGGGGTCGATGTCCTTGGTGGGAATCGACTACACATTTGTGGGTGGAAAATTGCTTCCTTTTCACGTTAAACATTACAGCTGATGAGCAGCTAGCTGAAGTTGTCTTGTAGTTGCTGGTTCATCAGACTATGTATTTGAAGTGATGAATGAGAAAGCCTTCAAGCCTTAGGGTTTTGTTTTGTGCACCTTCACTTTTGTTATAGTATTAGATCCTGGTTATTTAACCTAGTTTTCTGGCGGCCACTGCTACATATGGCTGATGGCTGATGAAAATGTATAAGTAAACACTAATGCACGGAGACACTAATGCAAACACACAATACAAGACAATAACCTAATTAATCTAAACATTTACGAAATGGAAGATCGGTTTTATCTCCATATGGTTCAGAGCAACCAGGAGTTCTTTTGGTGGTCGAGAAGCTGACGACTACAAACTACAACGATTGGAGCATGGCTTTATATGTACAATGTTCTTGTGCGGGAAAAAAACAAGCTTGGTTTCCTTAATGGTTATGTTTTGTAACCACGAGATAGGCAGATCCATTATGAGGTGCGTGGTATTAGAGTATGTACGAGTAGTATTGTGTTATGCTACGAAACCTAGTATGTAATTGAGTAGAGTTATATTTTTTATTAGAGTCGTAGAAGTTAGGTTATTTCCGTATTAGTGTTAGGGTTATTATAGAAGTCAGTCTCTATATTCTATATAAACCCTATGTGGTATCAGTAATAAGACACAACAGTTTCCACCGAATTCTGATTTTCCAACACGTGGATTAGAAACAATATTATGATCTTGAGATTGGATCCAGCTTCCAAAAATACGAAAGACCAGGATTTGAATTTCATTCTTGTTACATACTCATTTATTCAATCTATTATGCTCGTGCTAACAGTATTTAGTTTGGTGAGTCGCTAATTAGATAGTTTTTCCAGGTATAATGTTGTAACGAGGATTCGAACCTTGGTTGTTGGGCGGGAAGCCGAAACTTTGGCACCATAAGTGCAACAGTGATGGAGTTTCTGGGACCGACATTCGAACCAGCCAAACAAGTTTTCCGTATGGAACAGGAAATTTTAGTCAATTCAATTTGGCTAACCACGAGTTGTTGCCAACTGAATTGACTAAACGATAATTAGCAAACGGGGAAGGGAAACTAGAATACAAACTGTTGTATCCACCTTATGATTTTCTGATTGAATACATGTACGTACGTTATCATTTCATTATTGATGAGAAGACTTTTGTTGACGGTATATAATAAGCAACTTCCTGTTACAGTTCCTGCTGAATTCGGTCTAAGGCACAATTTGATCATTTGGCCGGGTATGCACAGATTTATAGTTACAAGAAGCATTAACATTACATCACAATGATGAGGAAGTGGTTGGTCGTCCAAAATCGATCAACAGTGTTCGCAGTTTTAGCGACCATAATAGCGATTCTATGGCATGACCCTCGATCTAGCCGAAAAAAGAAAGGATGATTTTTCTTCTTCATCATCACCAGGAATCAAACCCGGAGCAAGAATTTTAACCAGCACAGCTGGTACTTTGGACGGTAGCAATGCTATGTATTGGAATGAGAAAAAGGAAGAAGACACGCTGTTTTCTCAAAAACCTAAGGGGTCGTCATTTGGATCCAGGTTTTTAATTTGTGGGATTTTGGCTCAAATCACTGGTTTAAAAACCTAGGTTTTTAATTTGTGAGATTTTAAAATAGCTGATCACCATCAGCTATTTCATAATCCCACAATTGTGGGTTTCTGAAATCTCTAATATTTAAAATCTCTTATCATATAATTGCTTTCCAAACGAGTGATTTTAATAAAATCCCACATTATGTAGGATTGTGCCCAAATCCCACACCCAAAACCTGCATCCAAATGACCCCTAAATCGAAAATTGTTGCTAAATCATCCTGACACAGGCGATTCAAGTTATCAGTGCCCATATCATTACACTATTAACGAAACCATCAGCTGGTGGTTCGATGCGTACTAACGATGCATATAGCTAGCCGAAAACCAATGAGCAAAGCTTTTTGTTTTCGGCGGCCACAGAAATGCAATGTCGTCGCCAAAAACATCTATTTTCAACAATGGATAAAAATCGGTATTTTGAACGGTACATATGTAGAAAGCCTGCTCTTTTTTTTTACTATTTTGAATAGTCCAATTTTCTCTTTCTTTTTTTCTTTCTATAGCGGAGATAGTCGCACGTAATGACAGATCACAGCCATATTATTAAAAGCTTGTGGTAAGAAGGGGTTTCGTTCTAGTGCCCGAAAATAATATTCCAAAGCTTTTGTGTGTTCTCCATTACTTGTGTGAATAAGACCTATATTATAGAGTATATAACTTCGATCATAGGGATCAATTTCGAGTCGCATAGCTTCATAATAATTCTGTAAAGCTTCCGCAAAATTTCCTTCGGATTGAGCAGACATCCGTTACGGTCGTATTCGATTCAAATAATCTCCGTTCCAGAACCGTACATGAGATTTTCATCTCATACGGCTCCTCCCTTCTGTGTATAATGAAAAAAATACATAGAATCAAAAAGGAATTCGAATGGTCGCAGTAGGTGGGAAACTTTTGGCAACCATTTTTCTATAATCTGAATCACCGAAGGGCCAAATTCGGCCTCGTTGCTGCTAATTGGTCATGCCAAGGGCCAAATCAGTTTGGTCCGAACTAGGTTATACTAACGAGAAGAGACGAGAACAACCAAGTAGAGTCTGCCCGGACTCGGTTAAGCCCGGAGAAACTCGGTAAAATTCACAAAAAAACTGGCCGGTTTGACTGGCTGACCGAACCTCTGGTTAATATTTCAAAAATGTAATGGAAAAAAAAATCCACATATTCGAGCTAAACAGACAATTAGGTCATAGCTATTCGGCTACAACAAATCCCTCAAAACCAAACGACAAACTGCCGGAAAGAATCTAGAGATAATAGAAATCCAACCAACAAAATAACCACAATTAAGAACTAAACATGGATGGTCAAAAGAAATTAACAGAGCCGTACGTACCTCAAAGAGCCCTATCTCAATCCTCCAACCTTTTATAACATACACATAATCATCAATTTTATTAACGAACTATCTCATTATAAAATCATCATCCATTTTATTAATCACTATATCATCAAAAATATCATTACTATGATCCACAAAGCGTTGCTAGCGGCGGTCCTTTTGGCCGCCGGTTATTATGATACCGCGGCAGGATGGGACACGGTGACGATACACGTCACCAACAAGCTGAGCACAAGACGGATACTGATCTTGCATTGCAAATCCGACGACGACGATCTCGGCGGCAGCGCCATCGGCGCCGGTGCTAATATCACTTTGGTTTTCGGCCAGAACGTGTTCGGCGGGACGCTGTTCTGGTGCAGCGCGGCGTACCAAGATAAGCGTCTCTCTTTCAAGGCGTACGAGCAGAACGATCACAATACGTTCGTTAAAGTGTTCGATGTCTCCGACGACGGAGTCGGCGGGATCGATGTTTATAGTGGGAATCTACTTCATATTTCTAGGTGGAGAATTATTTCTCATTTGAATTTTTAGGATTATAGTTTTGAATTGTCAGACTCAGTTTCTCAATCTATTACGTCCAGATGGACAGTATTTAGTTTGATGAGCTTGCTAATTAGATAGGTTTTCCCCGGGAATAATGTTGTAACAAGGATTCGAACCTTGGTTGCAGGGAAGCCGAAGGTCTGGCACCAGAAAGAAAGTGCAAAATTTAAATGTTTGGGTTATGGTTGAAATAGTGTTGTCTTTTTTTTTATAATGGCGAATTTATTGATGAAATCAAAATGAGAAGAAATACAATGGAAACTCGGTTCCGGGACATCTCCCACAGTATACATAACTGATTTCTCAATATTAATCTTTAGCCCTGTTACTGCTTGGAAACAAACCAGAGTGGACAGGATACAGATAACTTGTTCATGGGAGACATCACAGAATATCAAAGTATCATCGGCGAATAATAGATGGGTTACCTCACCTTGCTGTAGAATTTCATTCATGAAAAAGCCATTGATTTTACCTTCAGGTTTGAGTTTAGACAGCATGAAGGATAGAACATCCATGACGAGAACGAATAGTGCAGAGGAGATGGGATTTCCTTGTTGGAGACCCTTAGAGGCTGGAAAGAACCCAAAAGCTTCTCCATTAACTAGAACAGAGATAAGAGGGGAACACACTGCTTTTTGCATCCAACTAATCCATAATTCAGGAAATCCAAACTTCCTCGGAATTTTGAAAAGACACCCCCAATTGACATTGTCGTAAGCCTTCTCTATATCGAGTTTGAACGTTAGACCAGGTTTCCTGCTTCTTCTTCTGCTATCAAAAGTGAAACCATCCGGGCCTGGCGCCTTAGATCCATCACTGTCTTTTAAAGCTTCCCAGATTTCCGTTTCACTGAAAGGTTGACAAAGTTTTAATATATCAGATTCCTTGATTCTGCAATCGAAATACAGACTGGGGAAAGGACGGGAAGGAATCTGTTCTTTAAAAAGATCAATGTAAAAACCAAGAATACCAGCAGCTACATCTTGAAATCCCTCCATCATGTGGCCCTGTACTCTGATGAGATCTATAGAATTAAACTTCTTCCTGTAGTTGGCAATGCGATGAAAATACCTTGTATTGCTATCACCTTTCTGAGTCTATGTCTCCCTCGATTTTTGCCTCCAGCAAATTTCTTGCATATTTAAACAATGAGTAAGTTCCACTTTAAGCACACACCTTTCTATTGATTCATCACTATCAAGAGGCCTATTTTCTTCAATAATATCAATCTCATGAATCTTACTCAGTAAGTCATCTACCCTCTTGTGTATGTTGCCAAAAACTTCTTTGTTCCACCTTTTGAGGTTTTGTTTGATGACTTGCAGCTTTTTGCACCAAAGGAAGGAGCAACCAGAACATTGTAGGGGAATCTTCATCCACGTATCTAATCCTTCAAAGAACCTTTTATCTTCAAACCATATGTTTTCAAAACGCCAAGGCCTTTTAACTCTTCTATCTTTGCCCCATCTTAAGAGTAAGGGATTGTGGTCTGATTCGACACGATCGAGCGCTGTAAGAGAGCAATCCGAAAAAGAAGTATCAAAGTTTGGAGAGACTAGGACTCTATTAATATGAGACAGAGAAGAGCCTTCTGGACCCCTACTTCAGGTGAACAGACTACCTTTCAGAGGAAGATCCAGCAGGAGGTTATTGTCAATGAATCCATTAAATTCATTCATGAGGTCAGTAACGCCTTGCTCCCTGATAATCATCATGGCTCCGAACCAGGTTGAAGTCACCCCCAATACAAATAGGGGCATTAATCTGCTGACAGTAGGCATGTAGTTCTTCCAGGAAGGTGAGTTTATCAGACTTCTCTTGGGGGCCATATACTGAGATTAGATGTCAATAAGTAGAACTAGCCAAATCAAGGAACTCGGTGACAAGAAACCAAGAGCTTTCTCTGGTAGCTATTAATTGTGAAACCTGCTTATCCCAGTAGACCAGAATTCCCCCTGAACTTCCTCTTGCTTCTTTAGAAATCCATCCCATATCTCTTCTTCCACTTATTCCCGCAACCAGAGAATCATTGCAATCAGCTCGTTTGGTTTCAAACAGAGAAACAATTTGAGGTCTATGCTTCGCAATCAATCGCTTGATCCTTCCTCTTTTTTCGAAATCGCCTAATCCTCTAACATTCCAGAAAATGACTGATACACCCATTAAATTAAGATTGAATAGACCTATCTAACCTGCTAGCGCTCTTTCTCATACCTCTAGCGGGAGAGGATTGAGGTCCGAGTCTGTGCTTTTCCATTTCAAGTTTGGATCGAGGAGTTCTCACCTTTTTATAATGCATTTCCCTATCTGTTTCACTGATTGCCCTTTCTGTTTTGTCTTCTCCTTCATCATGTTCCAAAGAGAATATACGGCTCAAATTCACGCTCGATTCAACCAAAGTGAGAAAATCAAAAGGATAGGCTTCCACATTCCAGTCGGCAACTTCACTCTCCCTTGAGCAGGAAGGTGAGGGAAGTTCATTCAGAGTGATAGCGGATGAATCAATTTGTGCCTGATCGTGAGAAGTTTCTAGGTTTAGATTGAGATGTGCGAGAAATGTACAGGCAGCTATCTTGCTGCTCTGTTCTTTTGTATTGATCTTCTACAATTAGGATTACAGCTGATTGCCACGTGTCTCACTCACGTTGGCTATGTTTAAAGTGTAAACAGTACTTAACGGCTAATAACTCTAAATAAAACGATGTCGCAGCACCTCAAGAGTTTTCTGCCTATTCTAGGAAACGTCTCCATAACAGAAACGTTTCTCCTCCTTTGGACTCTGTTCGAATCTTCTTCTTCCTCTGCAATCCTGATCAGTCTCGGATTACATTTCTGTCACCCCCCTTCAAGTTGTGGAGGGAAGAACAACTCCCAACTTGATCAACAAATCCTTCAATCGTACCTGATCCAAGCCCTTGGTAAAGATATCTGCCAACTGGTTGATTGTGTTCACATGTTGTAACTTAATCAAACCACTTTTGATTCTTTCCCTTGTCACATGAATGTCGATTTCTATGTGCTTGGTCCTCTCGTGAAACACAGGGTTTTCTGCTATGTGTATAGCAGACCTGTTATCACAATAAACAGTGATGGGCAATGGAATTTTCACACTCAATTCTTCCAAAAGTCCCTTCAGCCATTGAACCTCACAAACTGCCATTGCCAAAGCCCTGTATTCAGCCTCTGACGATGACCTGGAAACAGTGGTCTGTTTCTTAGTCTTCCATGTAAGCAATGATCTCCCTAGGAAGGTACAGTAGCCAGTAGTTGACCTTCTTGTATCTGGGCAACTTGCCCAGTCTGAGTCACAAAACCCTGTCAGCTTCAGTTCTGCTCCACTGTCAAAGAAAATCCCTTGCCCTGGTCCATTCTTCAAGTATCTCAGGACTCTATAGGCTGCTTGGAGATGTTCCTCATGTGGTTTCTTTTGAAACTGACAAAGTTGCTGCACTGCAAAAGCCAGGTCTGGTCTGGTGATGGTGATATAATGAAGTCTACCCACTAACCTTCTATACTGCTCAGCATCTGCTAGTGGTGTTCCTTGAGTTGCAGACAGCTTTACCTTAGGATCAATTGGTGTTTGACAACCCTTAGATTCCAAGTATCCTGTCTCTTTTAGCAACTCAAGACAGTATTTCCTTTGACAAACATTTATCCCATCTGCTGTTCTGTTAATTTCCAGACCTAAGAAGTACTTGAGAGGGCCAAGCAATTTCATCTTAAACTCCTGACTCAAGGCCTTCTTAACCTGTTCTATATCTTTCCCAGCATCTCCTCCTATTATGATATCATCCACATATATGAGCAATACCACAATCCTACCATGAACCCACTTGGTGAATAAGGAATAGTCTGAAGCAGATTGGCTAAAACCATTTTTCAACAGAAAGCTACTCAACTTAGCAAACCATTGCCTTGAAGCTTGCTTCAGCCCATACAAAGATTTCTTCAGCCTGCAGACCATCCTCTGTGAGCCATGCTGTTCCAAATCCAAACCAGGTGGCAATTGCATATAGACCTCTTCATTTAAATCACCATGAAGAAAGGCATTTGAGACATCCATTTGCTCTAGAGTCCAATTCTTCACAGCTACAATTGCCAACAAGGCTTTAACTGAATTAATTTTAGCAACAGGTGAGAAAGTGTCCAGGAAATCAATTCCATATACTTGGGTATACCCTTTGGCTACCAATCTGGACTTGAATCTTTCAATGTTTCCATCTGGCTTCAGCTTGATCTTATATACCCATTTATTCCCTATTACCTTCTTCCCTTCTGGTAGTGGAACAATATCCCATGTTTGATTTGCTTCAAGGGAATCCCATTCTTCTCTCATTGACTTTCTCCAGTGCTCATGTTTAATGGCCTCCTGATAAGTGAGTGGCTCATCCTGCTGGATGATGCTTAAAGCATAAACCCTGTCAAGTGCATTTAAATGATCCACATTCAAACAGATAGGATACCTGCTTGCAGCTGCTGCATTGTGACCAAAAGCTCCAAATTGTAAATCTGGATCCAATTCACAATCATCATATTTCTTAGGTAAATGATGTTGCCTCTTAGGTCTAGCTGGTGGTTCATAATCTTGTTGTGGCTCAAGTTCAGGGTCAAGTTCAACTATGTCCTGCACTTCATCATCAGGTGTGACTTCCCCCCTTTCAGCTGAGACTGGTTCAATATCTGAAGGAAGTAGAGGCTGAGATTTAGAAGTGCTAGGAATAGATAGGTCAGGAGGAGGTCCAGTATCAAGAGGTGGAGGATCAAGAGGTGCAGAAGAGGGTTGTGAAACTGAGATAGAGTCATCATTTGTTCTATATGGCAATATAGATTCATAGAAGACCACATCTCTGGAAATGAGGACTTGTTGAGAGTGAATATCCAACAACTTATAACCCTTGATCCCAGGTGGAATGCCAAGAAGTACACACTGCCTGGATCTGGGGGCAAACTTAGTTCTGCCAGCAGTGGGAGTACTAGCATATACC